GGGGGGGGGGGAGAGAAGGGGAGGTGTTACCTGTGTGTAGAGAAGGGGAGAAAATCCACCTTTGAGGGGATAAAGGGTCAGTGGGGGCAGAGTCCTCTCTCCCGCCTCCCCCCTTCAACCCTTTTGTCTTTTAAGCCCAGAGCGAGCCCGGCTTCCTCCTGAGGTAGGGGGGGGGGGGCAGAAAAGAGAGCGACGGGCCTTCCGCCCTCAGGCCTCCCCGCCTTCTTTCTTCCCCTCTCTCTCTCTCTCTCAGCCAGGCCGCCGGTTCAATGTCACCTTCCCGCCCGGGATCCTGAGGACGGAAGCGAGGAGAACGCCCGGGAGACGACCCATCCCCCGCCCGCCCGCCTCCCCACTCGTGTGCGTGTCTGTGTGGAGAAATGAGGGGCCGCCTTGCAGGGGGATCTCCCCCCCCCCCCCCCCCCCCCCCCCCCCCCCCCCCGGTCACCGACCCGTCAAATCTGACAGGAGACGTGTGAGGGGGAAGCGGGAGGATGAATAGAGGTCGCAGGGGAGGATGGGAGTTGTAGTCCGCCGCCTCCCTTGTGGAGAAGAGGGGGCCATTCTCCCACCCCCCATCAGGGGGCTCTGAGGCGAGGGGGGGGGTGTCTCACCTGCCGCAGCGGGCGTCCTCAGGGCCAGGCCGCGCAGGGCTGGAGCAGCGGCGCACCTGCGGAGGAGCCGGGCGGCGGCCAGCATGGCTGAGGAGAATGGAAGGCGGAGAAGAAGAAGGAAGAAGAAGAAGAAGAAGGAAAAAGAAAAAAAAAGAGGCGGACGCGAAGGAGACCGCGGGCGGTTTTTTAAGCGCGCGACTGAGGCTGCTCGCTCGCCACGCGCTGCCTCCTCCCCCCCCTCCCCCGCGGCGTTCACCCTTCGGCGCGCGGAGGACAAAAAGGGGAGGAGCCGGGCTAGGGCGGCGCGACGACGCCACGTCACGCGCACTGACGCCACGCGGGAGGGCGGGGAAAAAAAGGGGCCGGGCTAGGCAAAGAACAAGCAAGGCCGCCTTCGCGGGGCGGGGGCGTCCCAAAGGGGAAGGAGGGAGGGAGCGGGGGAAAAAAAAAGAAAAAAAGGAAGGGGCGGGTTTTTTCCCCCTCTGCCGCGCGCCGAGGCGGGCGGGGCTTGCCTGGCTGGCCGTCAGCCAATCAGAGGAGGCCGAGGAGAATTCCAAAGATGCTGAATTGGAAAAAAAAAAAAAAAAAGGGAAGAAAAAAGTGGAAGGTTGCAGGAATGTTCAATTCTGCAATTTTAATTCTAATTAAAAACCTAGAAAAGGGGGATGAGGAATAGATGAAGTTACGGTGGGATTTTTTTATTTTTTTTATTTTTTTTGCATGGCTTTGGCTGCCTGGCTATCTCCCTTTTTTGAGTTGTTTTTTGAGATTCTCGATTTTTGTTTGACAAATTCCATCAAAGAAAGAAAGAAAGAAAGAAAGAAAGAAAGAAAGAAAGAAAGAAAGAAA